TCAAGAATTTGACATCAATATTTTCTAGGAACTAATTTTTGTGTAACCTTTCCCTTAATAATTTCTGAGAGTTGGGGACCTGCCCCTTAGCTCAGTTCTTTAAGTGGCTGCTTCAACAAAGCAGTCAGGCTCAGGTTGCTGTGGTTCAATCCGCACAACTCAAGCCAGCCAAACCTGCCCTGAAGGCATTCGGAACAAAAAAATAATAATAATTTCTGAGAGTTAATTTTGTATTTAGGTATATAAGGGCATCATATATATTTTAAAAATCTTGACTCACTTTAAAAGTAATGTCTGTGTAGATCTTTATTTTTATTTTTAAATTTTTTCACTTAACAAGTACCATAAAATCATTTCTATATTATAGTGCACTCTTTATAAACATGCTTTTCAAGAATATAAAATATTATATCATGTTAATGCATTATAATTCACTCATCAATTACTAGACATTTGACTTGTTTTCAATCGATAATAACCTTTGAGAAGGATATAACCAATTTCTGTAAAACTTTCTGTGTTTGAACTATTTCCCTAAAATAGATTTCTAGAGGGCTGGGGAGATAGCTCAGTAGAACAAGTGCTTGCCTGGTAAGCGCAGGGTCCTGAGTTCAATCCCCGGTGCCACAAAAAAAAAAAAAAAAAAAAAAGATTTCTAGAGGTAGAATAATTGGATACAGGAATTGTTTTCTAAAACAATTTTAGTAACTCCCAGTGGTGGTAAAAATATTTGAAGGAGGCTCATTTCCTTGTTTTGTTATTTCCATTTGGGGTTTGGAGAGTGAAGACCACTCAGATCCTATTTATTTATTTATTTATTTTTTGGAGGACTCAGGCTGTTTTAACAGCAGGTGTGATGTGGCATGTGGAGCTGGGGGTTGAACCACTGTCCTGCCAGCCTGACTAGGTTTCCCCAGCCAGGCGCTTAAACAACTGAGCTATCCATCAAGCCCCCTTCAGATCCAGTTTATTAAAAATACATGGAAGTTAAATCATGCTTTGCCATTCTGCTCTTGCCTTTCTGCTCCCAAATTCATTCCTGGAGGCAAGCATTAACCAGATACCAAAACTGGAGAAGGACCCAACTTGAAAAGAGAACTACAGGCCAGTAATCCTAATGAACACTGATGCATGAATGAATATTGAACTCTGTCCAATGTTTTTTCTGCATCAATTGAGATTTTCATATAGTTTTTGTCCTTTATTCTGTTTTTGTGGTATATTACATTTATTAATTTGCAGGTGTTTAGCCATCCCTGGCTCCCTGGAGTGAATCTTACTTGGTCATGGTGTATGATCTTCTTCATAATTTGGTTCTTGCTGTTTTCCAGTGTCTTGCTGAGGAGTTTTGCATCTATGCTCATTAAAGAGATTACTTACTATTGGATTGGTCAAAATTTTTATGTCTTCTTAGTCTTGTTTTGGTAATTTGTGTGCATCTAGGTATCTTCCCATTTTTTCAAGATTTTCTAATTTGTTCAAATATAATTTTTCATAATAGTTATTATCTTTTGGATTTTGCCCTTTTTATTTCTTATTGCATTGATGTGATTTTTTTTTTCTCTCTTGGTAAGTTTGGTAAGGATTTATCTATGTTGTTTATTCTTTCAAAGAACAAGCTCTTCAATTCATTTTTTCCGATTCATTCTTTATGTTACTTTTTATTCTCAATTTCATTTCATTTCCTTTCTTTCTTTCTTTCTTTCTTTCTTTCTTTCTTTCTTTCTTTTCTGGCAGAATTGGGGATTGAACTCAGGCCCTTGCGCTTGCCAGGGAAGCACTTATTCTACTGATCCATCTCCCCAGCACCTTCATTAATTTCTTTTTTCCTCCTTCATTAATTTCTAATATGATTTCCTTCCTTAATTTCAGTTTGGGCTTGTATTTGTTTTCCCACTATTCTTGAACATCTTCATTAGGTTGTTTATGGGAGATCCCTCCGCTTTTCTAGTGTATTGATTGTAATAATTTCCTCTCAGTTCTGCTTTCATTGTGTCCTTATAAGTTCTGGTGTGTCATACTGTCTGTAGTGGATTGTTCACTGGTGGGCAACTTGTTACACCCAGCTGAATTGAATTAGCGTGGTGCTGGATGTGGGAGACCCACCTGAGGATTGTTGCCAGCAGCATAAAAGGCAGAATAGAAGTTGTTGAGAGGATGTTAGGGAAGCTGTTTGGAGAAGTTGTTGGTAGCTTCTGGTAGCTGCTGGTTCTCTTATGTTATCCTGCTGGAGGACCTTGTCATGCTGGCTTTCCTGATGAACTTTGCTGTACTTATCAAAGGAGGAGCTCAGGACCTTTGTTGTCACTGAGAATGGCTGTGTTTCATTTGTGTGTGTTGGGTGGGTGGGGCTCTGGTTCTCATCTTGAGCATCACTTCCTGGTTCTGGAGGGGAAGATGGGTGCACTGCTCAGCCTTGTGGAGAAACTTGTTGCATTTGTTTTCCTGATGAGAATTCTGCTTTCCTAATCACTGTAGGATCTCTGGACAGCTGTGATACTCTTCAGGCAAGCTCTGGTTCTTATTTTGAGCATTGCTTCCTGGATCCAGTTCAGATTCCTCAGCCTGCTAGCACAGATCCTTCATCCTGCTGGCACAGACTTTCTAGCTTCTACTGCTGACGTTTGGGCCTTTCCAGTGCAGATCCATGAGGCAGGCCTGCATGTGACATTGTCAAGGGCTTTTGGCCTCCAATTGGACTTGTGGGAGGCATTGGGATGAGCACTAGGTTTTCAGCTGTACACAGGCAGAACACTATATGGGATCCAGGTCCTCAGCTGGACTCATTGGTCTTTAGTGTGTGGATAGATTTCTTGTACTATGATATATGAAATTTATAAAATGTTTCTTGTATTGTATTGTTCCCCTTGCAAAACCCCAAACCATGACACTGTCGTTGTCATTTGATCCCAGAAGTTTAATTTCTTCCTGGATTTCCTCAGTCATTGATTGGATATTGAAAAGTATGCTACTCATTTTCCATTTGTTTTCTGAACTTTCTGTGGTTTCTCCCATGATTGGTATTATTTCACTTCACAATAAGTTGATAGTACATACACGGTGATTTTGGTTATTTTGGATTTATTTAAGCATGTTTATGGGTTAGTGTGTGGTCTATTGGGGGGAAAGTTTCATCTGCTGCTGAGAAGAATGTGTACTCTGTTGTAGTTGGGTAGAACACTAGATATCTATTAAGTCTATGTTCAAAGGTGTGGTTCAGCTCTGATATTTCTGTACTTTCTTTTTAGTTGATCTCTTTGTGAAAGTGGGGTCACTCATGATTTTATTAGTGTTTATTTGATCTTTTATGACCAGTGGCATTTGTTTTATGAAGATAGGTATTCAAACTTATTCTACAAAGGGAGGGTTTATTTTCTTATTTCAGCTACAGGGATCTCTTCAGACTCAGCCTGATGACAAGATCACACAGATACCGTACTCTCACCCCAGACCACAGTGCACCTCATCCTCAAGCACCCACACTCCTTTCTGAGTATTTCTTTGTTTCTGCTTAATAAATCCACCTGGGAGGTCTCACTGACACTTTCTGAAATGCTTTCCTGTGATGAGAGTGATAAAACTACTCTGGTGGGGGTGGGTACTGAAGCTCCCATCTCCTCCTTGGATCCCATCCAAGGACAAAATGAAGTAAGTGCTACTGATGTCCAGAGTGTATCGCAGAAGGCCAGGAGGCCCATTGTGGCCCCAAGTATAGACTTACTGGAAACTAACTCCCAGGAAGCTACTCACAATTTACAGTGAGAGAACTGAAAGAAATGGATGTTGTTCTCTTTAGATACATTAATGGTAATAAATATATAGCATTTTCATGTTAATTAATGCTCACACAATTCCAAAGGTTAAAGGGTTAGTGATTTTCTTAGCCTTTTAGACCTTAAATGGTATATTCAAGCCTTGGCTATCCAGACCTAGAGTCCATATTTTCATATATAATATATATGAGCTATTTGGCCGGCCCTTCCATATGATATTATGGGATGGATCTAGCAGATAGATTTCAGGTTCTTGTATACAAGCAAAAAAAAAAAAATATATATATATATTTTTTTTTTTTTTGTATTTTTTAGGGAAGTGTCTACAGGGTGTTCAGGGTCTCACTGCTAGATCGGACTCGTAGTGATCCGCCTGTTTACAGCCTCCCAAGTGCTGGGATTACAGGCGTGGGCCACCATGCCCAGTCTCAGTTGCCATCTCAACGCACGCCCCTCGGGTAGGGCCCATGGCAGGCTCTGGGGCCCTGGGGCTCTGAGCCTGCTTGCAGGCGCTTTAATCCGCTGAGCTATTTGGCCGGCCCTTCCATATGATATTATGGGATGGATCTAGCAGACAGATTCCAGGTTCTTGTATACAAGCAAAGAATTGCAAGGATAAAAGAAAAGCAGCCATGTGGTATAAGCAGTACAATTACGTTGCACTTTTTTATTATTAAAAGGAGGGGTAGGAAGACCTGGGCCTTTTTATCAACTTTTCAGAAATCTAGGCTACACACCAATATGTAGCAGAAGTCTATGTCCAGGAGCCAGGAAGCCAGAGGTTCCCCAAAGGAGGTGGCATATACATTGATCCTGTTAGGGTCGCGGGTAATTCCACCGCCTAGGTGGCGGCGCTTCCTTCAAAGCAGTCCCGTGGGACCGTTTTCGGTGTTCTGGGTGCAGCTCTCAGAATTGGGCGACAGAGGCCAGGGACTTTGCGCTTTCTCCACGTCTGTCCCACAGCTCCACCCAGCGCCCTTCCCCCCGCGGCTTCTCAACCTGGCACCGCCCCTAGTCCGGAAGGTTCCACACTGCTCACAGCGTGCGGAACGTGACAAACGGAACCTGCACGTCCCACCTCAGTAACTTTGCAGACGGACGGAGCCTCCGAGCAATTGCAGCTCGCCAGCCCCTGTGGGCCTCGGCCAATAGCAGCGGCTTTGCTAGGCGCGCCCTGAGCCACAGGCGGGAAGGGGCGGTGCGATAGGCAAGGCGTCCGGGGCGGTGAGAGCTTTCTCCCCGCCCACGCGGTGCTCTACATTCTGCACGCGTCTCAGGCGCTCTACGGACGCATCTCCAGCCTCTGAGTCCCCAGCTTCTTGCCTCCGCTCTGTTACCAAAATGTCGCTTTCTAACAAGCTGACTCTGGACAAGCTGGAAGTGAAGGGGAAGCGAGTCGTGATGAGGTAATTCTACGCGTCTGCCCGCTTGCTCACGGTGCTCTGCCGCAGGCCTCTCCAGCTCCTGCTGAATTGCTATCTTGTCTGCCCAAAGTTGCTTTTAACTTTCAGCTGGGCTGCGGGGGTCCTAGGCTTGCTGGGTGACGCTGCCCTCCGGTGGGGTTGAGGCTGTGCCCAGGACTGATGGTTACTAAACGCATTTTTTCCAGCCCAGAACGTGGCTGTGGTCACCAAGTTTTGGGAGTGGTTCAGATTGCTGAAAAAGGGCCCAGATTTGCTGAGAAAGGGTTCAGATTTCTGGGATCCATTTTACACCCTTTCCTGTTCCCAAAATGCAATTTTATCATCTCCAGCTCCCAGTTAGTAAGGTCGGACCTATTGCTTCTCCTGCAAATCTCTAGGCCTTTTAGGAAGGGACCTTGAAAGGTCATTTGGCTAATTTCTTCTCCATCGCCCTAGCCCAGACAAATGAGAAAAGGCCCACATTTTAAAGGTCCTTGCTATGCCGGGCGTGGTGGTGGCACATGTCTGTAATCTCAGCAGGGGTTTAGGGCAGAGGATCGCCAGGAGCTCAAGGCCAGCCTGGGCTACAGGGCTAGAACCTGTCTCAACCCCCTGAGAAAAGGTCTTTGCTGAATATATTATGTGCCGCAAACAAATGCGACGTCCCTGCAAAAAATGTTATCTTTCCCAGAGGATGTTGCTTTAAATGTTACAGTTTGGAACTCCCTGAAGAATTGGTGGTAGGGGGCTGGGATGCGCTGGATGAGGCCCTGCAGAGCTCGTGTAACAGGCCTCTGATAGTTGCCCCACAGAGTGGTTGGGCTCCAGGGGTTGCATCAGGGTTGTGGCACATCCTGGGTAATGATAGAGCACATTGTGTATCTGCTCATACTTTGAGGTCCTCCAACCTCACTCCCACATAAAGAAGGCTGTAGGAATAGCATATTAAAATTGAGGGAGCTTCCTCATGCAGTTCTGCACATGTTGGTTTCTTCTCCCATCTCCGTGATAGTTACTAGCGTGGTGTACAGAACTTTTACTTTATCCATTTTTTTTGAGATGGGGTCTTGCTATGCAGTTCAAGCTGGCTTTGAGCTCACTTTATAGCCAAGCTGGTCTCAAACTTGCAGCTATCCTCCTGCCTCAGCCTCCTGAGTGCTGGGATTACAGGTGAAACACCCCCCACCGTCTTTATCCTTTTTGTGATGTTTAGTACATTTGTGCATAGAAGAGTAAAGTACAGGACATTGTTAGGTATATAACTGATAGATTTAACCTTGAGCAGTCCAAGAGTGTTTTCTGATTATTTGTTTAAATTAGGAATTAAGGGCTGGAGAGATGGCTCAGTGGTCTAAAGCACCTACTTAGAACAAGCTTAGCAAAGCACAGGGACCGCGGTTCAATCCCCCAGCACCACATGCCAGCCAGCCCCGCCCCCTGGTGGGCTGAGCTGGCCACACACACACACCACACACACTCACTCTCTCTCTCTCTCTCTCTCTCTCTCTCTCTCTCAAATAAATAAATAAAAATAAAAAAAAGGAATTAAATCCAGGGCCTTTCCTCTGAGCCATATTGTCTGAGCCATTTTTATCTTTTTATTTTGCCAAGTTGCCCATGTTGGGGTAGAACTTGTGATTCTTTTCCCTCAGCCTACGATTGCTGGGATTGACTACAGGTATGTGCTACTGGTGCCTGGCAGAGTAGTATTTTTGAAAGGCTATTAGGGTTTGCGTTAATAAGGCAGTAGGTTTCCACCTACCCCTGGCTTTAAATGTGTGAGAGTACTAAGAATTAATAACTCTGTGGTACCCTAAGTGCCATCATCCCTTCCCTTTTCTTTACTGGCCAATATTACTTTGTAGGTGACCTTTGCCTCGTTATGAAGCTGACAACTCAGTTTATGTCCACGAGGAACAGCTGATGCTCCTATTTCTCCAGAAGGGATAGGCCTTTGTAATCTGGGCAAAGTGGGAATCCCAGCTTGCCTACAGGAGGGCTTTTTCTGGCCCTTTACCACCCTAAGGGAAGGTGACAGACTGTGAAAGAGGGCAGATAGGTATTGGCGTGCTGTTGGTTCTTATGTGTCATTCCCTTCAATCTCCACTGTGCTCAAGGATGACTTTTCCAGAAGCATGCAGCAGCTGAAAGACAAGGAGCAGGACTTCGTGCTGGTCAGCAGTCCTGGGGTTTATCTCCTCTCTTCGGGAAACTAGCTTGACTAATTGAGTTGTTTGGCTGTGGGTGAGACTGGGGGAGGAGTTTATTTCTTCTCCCTGTACACCAAATAAAGTTTTTGTTTAACATTGATTGACCCTGAGCCTTGAAATGATTGGTTAGTTCTGTTTTGCTGATGGAAAATGACCTTGTTCAAGGTTACTGAACTAGCAAGTTGGTGGAGCAAGGTCTTATTGTCTACCAGTCAGATCTTTTAAGTACTTGGACATACTTAATGACTTAGGACAGATTGAAATAGACCTTTTTTGTCTAGCAATATATTTCCCCTTGTTATGTGGATAAATAATGATCATCTGGGCAGAGGACAGAAAGTTACTTTGTTCCTTGGTTATTAATGTGTCTCTTGAACAGACTCACATTGTAGTTCTACTTTTTCAGAGGAGCCTAGACAGCCACTGCACAGTCTGCTCATGCCTTTTTGCTTCAGTACCTCTGTGGCAGTTGCTGTCAGTGTTTCAGAAATGGGGCCTTTTGAGTTAGTGAGTGGCTGCTTGCATCTCCCTCAGTCCTGAGAGGGGACTCCGGTGTTCCCTGACTTGACTGTCCCCAGTTTGAGTTGCCAAGAGAAATTCATTGATTTTTGGGGAAAACTTTAGATAGTTAAAAACTTGGACTAGTTAAGTACCAGGTTCCACTTCAGTTTTTTGTTTTTTTAGGATTCTAGTTTCTTTACAATCCTTTGAGTAAGTTTCCTGCTTATCTTTGCAATGTCATTTCCTTTTTCTTTTTCTTATAGCTTGCCAGTCATCCTTTGGTTGCTACTTCCCTTTTCCTTGTTTCTACCTGTTTTTCAAACCTCATGGGTTTTGTTCTAACTTGTGACTTTTTAAGCAACATCTCCGATTCAGTGGAAAGAGGCAAAAAACAGACCCAAGGAAACAAGCTTCTTAGGCAGCCATAATGTCTCAGTATTCTAGGCAGGGACAGTAAAGCAATGATGTGCACGGTTTCTTGGAGAAGTTTTAATGGAATTGGACCTGCAGTCCTGAGATTTCAAATACTAAAGACTTGGTATTCTTATTCCCACCAAATCAACATTTTTTAAAGTTTTATTTTTAAATAATTATAGATCTACAGGAAGTTGCAGAGACTGTAAGAGCAGTTTTACTGGGCAGTTTTCCATGGTGTGAGTATATCATAGTTTAACCATCAATTTGAGGCCATGGGTTGTTTCACATTTTGGGCTATTACAAATAAAGCTGCTATGAACATTCTTGTACACATCTTGATGTGGACATATGGTGTAATTTCTCTTGACTACAAAGCTAGGTGTGGGATTGTTGGATATTGAATACTGTCACCCATTCCACTAGTGTGTTAGGGCTTGAATCCAGAGACTTGTGCATGCTAGGCAACTCCTCTACCACTTGGCTATACTCTTAATTTGTATTTAATATTTTGAGGGATCTCCAGATTGTTTTCTAAAGCTGCTGTACCATTGTACATTCCTACCAATAGTGTATGTATGATCAGTTTTTCTGCATCCTCACCAGCTTTGGTGGTGGTTTTTTTTATTTTAGCCATTCTGAGGTGTTTGATAATGCCTGAACTTGTGCCTGACACAAAGCTTAGGAATGTTACAGGGAAGTGGAAAAGCAAAGGGTGGAAAGTTTTTAAATTGTAACATGTACAATGTGGAGGAAAGAACAGTTCCTGTGTTGGACTATTCAAAGAAAGCCACAAGCAAAGTTGAGAGTGGGAGATGAAGAGGGGAGGTAATACAGAAAACAATGAGGAGAGAGAATACACCCAACATTTTTTTTTTTTGGTGGAACCGGGGATTGAACTCAGGCCCTTGCGCTTGCCAGGCAAGTGCTTATTCCACTGAGCCATCTCCCCGGTCCCCACATCCAACATTTTTCAGCCAGCTAATGCTATGTTAAATTAGATGAAACAGATTTTTGAATGTTTTGACCTAAAAATATTCCTTCCTTTAAGATACCAGCACTATACTGCAAGGGGTTGGGTTGCTTGTGCTCACCCTTGGCATTAGCCCCTTGAATATGAGCTTTTCTGGGAGGCTACATGGGAGAGAATGATCCTTGGTAAGGGGATACTCCATCCTTTTTGCAATGTACTTTACAGCTGGCGAGGATCCTTGTTTAAGACATTTAAAAATGATTCTTAGAATCAAGTGCCCTGAAATTAAGTAGAATGTATTTCTTTCTTAGAATTATACTGATTTAATCTTGAAGACTTTCTTTAAAAATGTTTCAATATAAAGCTATTTTCACCAGTCCACCTTTGCCAAGGCTACTCTTCACTGAGGTAGAGTGGGGCTCAGGCCTAGGCCATACAGGGATTTAGTTGTCATTGCAGGAGGCCTGTATGATTTTGTAATCCTCTGCCAGCCCTCAGCTGTACAGGGAAGGGATAGTGTAAAAGGCAGCGGGAAAGAGAATTTTGTGATCAAGGACAACAGTGGTCTTTTTTATTAGATCAAGCTTCCCTGTAATTAGTACCTTAATGAGTACTGCTATCTATTTTTAGTAACAGTTGACCTATCTTTCATATCACAGAATTATAGAATAGAGAAGCAATAAATAACATGTAATAATAGCTAACATTTTTATGACATTTTGTGCCAGATACTCTTCTAAGCAGTTTATAAAGTTCTAAGTTGTTCTGTGAGATAGATGCAATCATCCACATTCTATAGATAAGAGAAAGTCTCTTAAAGTGATATTGACACACAAAACTTAGACCTTAAAAATAGCAGCCACACATCCTTGCTTTAGGCACATTGATGTAGGCTGGGGTGCCATGGATGTCAGAAGAATTCGTTTTTAAAAATGGTAAAGTAGGCATTATAGGCGTATGCCCACAATCTAGCAATTTGGGAGGCTGAGGCAGGGTCACAAGTACGAGCCTTGCCTGGGAAAGTCAGTGATTGAGAGGCTGTCTCAAAAGAAAGAGGATTGCAGATATAGCTCAGTGTAAAGTCCTTGAGTTCAATCTCCAGTGCTTAAAGATGGGGTGGGTGGTGGCGGCGAAGGAAAGTATTGTAATCTACTCTGGAAGAAGGGAAAGACTGAAGTATGTTATTAGCTTATGCCTCTTGATTACTTTGCTTCTAAATGCATGTGTCTTACCCCGTTTTCTAAAGTTTTTTGAAAGAAGTTGTTTTACAGTGTCTGTATTGCTGTGTGGCCTTGGTACTGGAGACTAGATTTTTTTCCTAGACTTCAAAGACTTTAAAAAGAATGCTCTCTTGATGTAGCTTATTTTTCCTTTTGAGGGATGTTAGCTTCACAAGGACCTAGAAATAGTATCGAAAGACTCAGATTCAAGATACATTCCTAACTGCTCGTTACCCCTCAGGCTGCCACTCAGATGATGCCATGCCAGGTTCACTCAGAAATAGTTTTAGGTAGAACTAGTCTTACCCTCTCAAGTCTTTAGGGGCAGTTCCTGTCATTTAAGGTTTTATATGTTAATATTTCTTTTTAAAATATGAGATATGTGTCTAAAAGAGCAGTATTATCACTAAGCAAGCACATTTGTAGGCTCAGACCAGGAAGAAATGGAACTTTACCACAAGTCCCTTTTGATTCTATCCATTCACGGCTTCTAACCCTTCCCCATGGCTAGCTACTATTTTGACTTTTAACACCATTGGTAATTTTTAAGGTGAGATTTGAACTTTTAGCTTATTTAACTGGTTTCATATATGTACTTTTCCTAATCTTTCAGGGAATTGTAAGTTGATCATGACCCTGAAACTTTTTTTTTTTTAAAGAGTGGATTTCAATGTTCCTATGAAGAATAACCAGATAACCAACAACCAAAGGTAAGATCTCGGCTAACTCTGGGCTGGCTTTAAGATGCCCAAATGTTTTAAAATGTGTGGGTTTAGCCAGGTGTGGTGGCACATGCCTATAATCCAAGCACTCAGGAGGCTGAGGCAGGAGGATTGCTGTGAGTTTGAGTCCAGCCTGAATTCAAGGCCAGCCTCCACTACATAGTGAGACTTTTCTCATGAAAAAAAAAAGAAAAAGGTGTGAGGTATGATATGAGTATACAGGATAAGATGGTTTTTCTTTCATAGTGTAGAACTGTAGCAACTTAAGGCATACAATTTTAGCATTTTACTAACTGACCATCTGATCCTGGTTTGTTATGAGGTTGTAGGAATTTAAATGTTAATTTATGAGAAAAATACAAATAGAAAAAAATCATCCTAAGAAAGTAATGCTCCCCATTTTAAAATTTTAGCTGGAAGTTATTCCTTTATTCCTTTTTACAGAATATCAAACTTTAAGGTTGATTCTTTTGCATAATGAATTAAGGAAGATAAGAATGTTAATATCTATTATTAAGCTTCCATGTAGTTCTTTTTTTGATACTGGGGATAGAACTCAGGACTTTGTGCTTGCTAGGCAGGTGCTTATGCTGTTGAGCTATATCCCTGGCCCCTAATTTTTTAAATTAAGCAGACTTTTATTGAAACTTAAATTGTGGTATAGAAACACATTTCAAATGATTTGATCCAACATGAATGAGGAAATTTTCCCTCTTCTACTACACTAGGATAGATTACTATTCAATCTATAAGATTACATGTAGTTTTACAAGACCATATTCTAGATGTTCCCGATAAATATAGCTTTTAATAGTTTTGATTTGTTTTTGCTTCTAAAAAACAGAAGGGAAAAGACTGGGGGAAAAAAAAATTTTCAGTGAGTTTAGCTGTGTTAATACCTTGAAAATCCTAGAATCAGAAGCAGAAATTTGAAGCAATAGTACTGGTTTTACTTCTGACTAGATTTTTATTTTAAATAAAAGATATGAGTTAGAAAGGTACTTCCTAACTATTTGGACCAGGGTTGTCTAATAGAAGTATAATATGAACCATATTTTATTTACTTTTGTGTCTAAAATAATAATATATGAACATAAAATTAGGGGCTGGGGAGATGACTCGGTACAATAAGCGCTTGCCTGGCAAGTGTATGGGCTTGAGTTCAATCCCCGGTTAAGCCAAAAAATAAATAAATAAAAATAAAATTAATTAAAAGGATATCTAACTTTTGTTCTGTGTCCTCAAAATCCAGGTTTTCCTTTTGTGTGTGGTACTGGGGATTGATCCCAGGACCTGTATACTGAGATAGTCACTAAGTTGTTCAGGCTGGGCTTGAACTTGGGATCTTCCTGCTTTAGCCTCTCAGAGGCTAGAAGTGTAAGTGTACACCACAGTGAGTGGTTTTCAGAGTATATATTACACTTACATAGCACATCTCAAGTTGTGCTAGTCTCATTTCTAGAATTCAGTAGTCATATGTGACTAAGGCTACCATTTTGTAGATTGTAGGTCTATATTCAGAACACTTCTAGATACTAGTCCCAGGGTAGGGTCTGCCATTTTGTCAAGCACATCCCTGCTATATTATAGTGGCAAAATATTTACACATGGACAGTTCAGACCCTCTTGATTTGTATTATTCTGCAACATGCAGAAAAGATTAGAAATTTACTTTTCATGAATAAAGAACAGAGAAACATCTGAGACAGGCTTCCAGTGAGGACATGAGTATACTCTTTTCTCCACAGTAAAAATGTAGGAATTGTACATGGTGTTTCTGTTTAGTTTTTAAGATTTAAGAATTTGTATCTTTACTAGATATTAATTGTACATATTAATGAGATTCAGTGTGACATTTCCATATATGCATATCGCATGCATTGCTCATAGCCAACATCCCCCTCCCCCATTCTTGGTAATCACTATTCTACTTTTAGGTTGAATTTCTTTTAGTTTCCATATATGAGAGAGAACACATAAGTGATAAGATTTTATCCTTTTTTGCTAAGCAATTCTAAATTTTGGATATATGCCATATTTTCTTTATCTTTCCATTGTTGAATATCTAGGTGGATTCCATAGTGCTGCAGTAAGCATGGGTGTGCAAGTATTTTTTTGTGTGTTGATTTTGTTTCCTTTGGGTATATTCCTAGGGAACCTGGTCACGTAGGTTCCTGCTTCCTAACACCTATCCAGATTTCAGGCTTCTAGAGGGCATCACATATTGCAACATAATTTATCTTGTTTGTATCCATAGTTTAGGAATAGCGAACACCCCTTGTCAGGTGGATAGCTGGGGGAACCCATTGAAAGTGAAGTTCTTAGACACAAGCCAAAGGCCAAACTTCTAAGCAGGTTCTCCAATAATAGCAGTGTTAGCCTTGGTAAACTAATTCTTTCCTGCACAAGGGGCAAGATGATAATGAGATTACAATCTTAGATGAAAGGTTGGCATCATATTTAAATTTCTTCCCCTAACACAAACCTGAGAACAACTGTTGAGTTGTTGACAATAGATTTGAAAGAACTTAAAGAAGCTTAAAAAAAGAAGCTTTTTGTTTCATGAAGTCATGAAAAAAATTCTACCACTCCTACAAATAACTTTGCTGTGCTTCCCCTCTTTCCTTCTTCTCTGACTCCTTCCTTGTCTCTATTTTTTTCCTTTCTCCCTCCCTCTTTTTTATTGCAGAATCAAGGCTGCTGTCCCAAGCATCAAATTTTGCTTGGACAATGGAGCCAAATCAGTTGTCCTTATGAGCCACCTGGGCCGGCCAGATGGTGTCCCAATGCCTGACAAGTACTCCTTACAGCCAGTTGCTGTAGAACTCAAATCTCTGCTGGGCAAGTAAGTGCCAGGTTTTGGTGCTGGTGAATTCTGTGGGAGGAGAGATTGCTGGGCATATTGTTATTGGCTCTTGATTTTTAGACTGTTGAAGTGTTTTCATCTCTTGCTTTCCCCAGGGATGTTCTATTCTTGAAGGACTGTGTGGGCCCAGAAGTAGAGAAAGCCTGTGCTGACCCAGCAGTTGGGTCTGTCATCCTGCTGGAGAACCTCCGCTTTCATGTGGAGGAGGAAGGGAAGGGAAAAGATGCTTCTGGGAACAAGGTACAACTTGTGATTTTTGACATTATTGGGTGTGAGGGTGTGAATATGTAAGTGAAGAACAGGGGAAGCTGATGCTTATTTTTTTCTTAGACACCTTTATATTGAAGTGTAAACATAAAATGCACAAATGTACAGCTTGCTATATTATTACAAAGGAAACACTTTGGAACCATCTTTTGGGTAAAGGAATAGAATAGCAACCCAGAAGTCCTCGTTATGCTCAAATGATTTTGAAATACATTTGAAAAAAATCTGTGACTCCTATTGCAGTACAGTAGTGTTCAGTAGCTAGGTGTGGTGGCTTGTGCCTATAATCCTAGCACTTGGCAGGTTGAGGCAGGAGGACTGCTACAAGTTTGAGGCCAGTGTGGGATACATAATGAGTTCAGGGCAGCCTACACAGTGAGACCTTCCCCCCCCCACTCAAAAAAAGCATTCAGAGATGGTGATATATTTTTGGATTTAATAAATTTTCTTAAGATTATAGACCAGGTGCTGTCAAGATAGCTCAGTGGACTAAAGTGTCTGCTTATTCAAGCTTAGGCAAGTGCAGTGACTGTGGTTTGATCCCCGGCACCACTTGCTGTACCAGTCCCACCCCGGGGCAGGCTGAGCTGGCCATAAGAGTCCAGGTGTAGTGGCACATGCCAATAATCCCAGCACTGGGGAGGCTGAAAACAGGAGGATCACTGTGAGTCTGAGCTGTGTAGTAAGACCCTATAACAACCAAGTACATTTAAAAAAAGAATTATAAACCAAAAAAAAATTATAAAACAATTTTTTTGAAAGACTTAAGTATAGGTATCATTGTCACTTCATAAACTAAGTCTCAAAAAATGAACTTAAGTTTCAGAAAGGCAGTCATTTAAGCTAGTACTATGCTTTATAGCTCAGTCCACTAGATCAGCAATCTTTTTCTCAGGACATGATGGTGTATCCTTGTAATCTGAGAACTCCAGGAGGCTGTGGCTGAAGCCCAAATTTTAGCCGAGCCTGGGCCACTTGGTGACTTACCAAAACATGTCTCAAGACATAAGAAAGGGCCAGGAATATAATACCTCAGTTCAAAACCCAGTATGTGATACCCAGTATTATACATAGGAAAGAAAGAAAAGGAAGGAAAGGGAAAGGAATAGAAACGAAAGGAAGGGAGGGGAAAAAGCCTTTTTAAATAAAGGTCTAGAGAGCAAATTTTTAGGCTTTGTGGGTCATATAGCCAATTGCAACTGCACAGAGTGCGTGTTGGATCTACTCAGCTCTGCCAGTGTCATGCAATAGCAGCCATAGTTAGCCCACAGAAAAGACTACTATGACAAGACAGGCAGAATTCAGTAATTAAAACTGGCTCTTTGAGCATGATTGTGAATTTGTCAATTGGCCAGAAGGTAAACTGAAAGCACTTTTTAGTACTTTGCACTCTTGCCTTTAGTGTCTATGAGACCAGGATGCCCTGGAACTGGTATCTCAGTCCTCTTTTGACTTCTGACATTTCTTAAGGTCATCCAGAGTGCTTGCTTTCAAGCAGTTTCTTTTCTTAGCAGCTCAGGCCATGGTCTTGCTTTATCTTGCCTTTGGCAGGGTCTTGCTACAGTAGTAGAAGTCAAACGCTGATCTAAAATTTGGTGCCCTTTTAAACTGAAACTCAAGCGTACAAACTCTTAAGGAAATAGAGGTGCCAGAAGTTAGCCAGAAAATTGAGGCAAAACATTTTATTTAGGAAGATGAACTATTGCTAATCTGACTTTTTAGATGATTCACTTGACATTTAGTGGCTAATGACTTTCTGTGCTTAATATTTCAGGCATTAGTCATAAGTTCAAACTGAGTACAAAGACACTGAAAATACAGTTTTTATTCCATTGATATTTATATTTTTAGGTACTAGGGATTGAATCCAGGGTCTCTCACATGCTAGGAAGGTGCTGTACCACTAAGTTATATCTGCAACCATACAGTTCTTTTTTTTTGTATTTTTTTAGGGAAGGGGCTACAGGGTATTCAGGGTCTCACTGCAAGATCAGACTCATAGTAATCTGCCTGTTTACAGCCTCCCAAGAGCTGGGTTTACAAGCACATGCCACCATGCCCAGTCTCAGTTGCCATCAGCGCCCCAGGGGCGGGTCTGGCACTGGCAGGTCTGGGGATTGAACCCCCCGCCCCTTCGCCTGCTTGCAGGCGCTCTCATCCGCTGAGCTATTTGGCCGACCCTTCATTTACACTGTTTTCACACTTTTTTATCAGCTAAAAAAGAAAAGATGATTTATTGTACATGCTTTACACTCAGCCAAATGCAAGAACAGAAGTAGTCCAGAATGCCACAGGTCCAGAGCAAAAAACCAGGGGACTGTTTAGTTTGAACGAGGTGTATCTCTTTAAGGTAGTCTTGGCGATCAGGTAGCAATGAAGTTCTAATCCATTAAGACATTCTAGACAGCATGCCGTCTAAAACTTGTACCAGTGTTGTCAGCCTTCAGTATTCTTTATTTCTCCTCCATGAGTGTGCAAGCTATGTTATGTGGACCTCTCATCTTTTTTCTTTTACACCTCAGTCTGTGCATTTGCATCTTCCTCCACTTGGCTCTTATGGCGCAGAGGTTTCTAAGAAGATGGCATTAATGTCGAGAGCTATTTTTCCACCCTTTGTAGGAGTGTGTTTCTTTATTTTTCAGATGCATAACATCCAGGGAAGTTAAAAAAAAACTCCTTTGTAACAGATATGTTTCTGAGGTACTTTTTTCTTGTCATGTTCTCATGTGCCTTCTTTGTCCCAGGTTGCCCTTGTTGCTTTTATGAGGAATATATATGAGGGCCTCTTTCTTTGTAGAAAGGCTTGATAGTCAGCAGCTTGAGTCACATATAATACTAACTTTCACAAGGAGAACATGTTAAAATGAGGAAATAACTTGGAATAAAGAAAGGGAGAAAGATTGTGGGTAACCTGGCCTACTGGTTCAGGAAAGGCCAATGGGACAGTAGTAACTTCATTTGATTAGAGGTTCAGCCCTGGTTCAGGAACATTTAATTTTAAGGGAAGGAAAGTGAGCACAGAAACATTCAGAAATGACCAAAAGACCTGGAATACTTGGGAGAAGGAACAATAATGTTGTTGCTAGTTGTAAAAATCCTACCAACACAGGATCTTTGGAGATGTTCGAGAAGACTCTTGGTGGTATGAAATAGTTTTACAGTTGTCTTTGGAGCCATCAACATTTCCTGTTGGTTTTGTTTTTTATTCATCCCTACAGGTTAAAGCTGAGCCAGCCAAAATAGATGCTTTCCGAACCTCACTTTCCAAGCTAGGGGATGTCTATGTCAATGATGCTTTTGGCACTGCACACCGAGCTCACAGGTACCAAGGGCCTTGTTGATACTGGGCTGAGAGCAGTATTGTTCATTCAAGCAGTCTCAAGTTTTGGGTTACTCTTTGGAGATTTCTGTTATACTGTGTTCCTTTCAGCTTCTTTCTTTATCTGAATCTACCATTGTGGCTTTTGTTGAGTATGCCTGATCCAAAGAGGAAATAAAGGTAAAAAAAAATGGGAATTTTAGGGCTTTTGCTTCAAGAAGAAGCTGCTCTAACTTTGGATATTTTGTACCGATCTCTCTTTGGGAATGTTACAAACTCTTGTGCTTCATGAACTAACTGATTACTTACTGCGTGATTCAGCCAAAGCCTGCTGAAGACTATTAATTTGGTATCTTAAATTATACTTACATTGATTACTTTTTATGCTTTTCCCCCACCCTGCACTATTAGTCAAAAAATGTACCTTATCCTTTAATTTTTTTTTAAATTATAGTTTAACAGTGAAAATTATTACAGTTTAAAAATGAAGGGCTGGGGAGATCTCTCAGTGGCATAAAGCACCTACTTGGCAAGCACAAAGTCCTGAGTTTAATCCCCAGTACCACCAAAAAATAAAAAAAAAGATGAAAATTATGTCTTTTGGAGTCTCAAGCAATGAAAGCTTTTTAATCATAAAGACTAGGAAAAATGGTAGTGTTTGACTAGACTTTGAATTTCTTTGGTCTTTTCTAGCTCTATGGTGGGAGTCAATCTGCCACAGAAGGCCGGTGGATTTTTGATGAAGAAGGAGCTGAACTATTTTGCTAAGGCCTTGGAGAACCCAGAGCGACCCTTCCTGGCCATCTTGGGCGGGTATAAAGAACACTCTTGGATCATTCTTTAAGTAATATTTGCCTGGTAGTAGGGCATACTTTGTGTAGCTTATCTTCAGCTAGCATAATCACACTGAGTAATTTGAGAATTCAATAAAGGAACTAATTATAGAAGTCATACTAGGGTTTAGAGAAAACAGGAAAGAACAGTGCACTAATATAGAGCTAGTAATAGCCTTCAACATCCCTAGCCCTAATGGATAAAGGAAGGAATCCAGAAAGAATAACCCTGAGGACATGGTCATCTGATGGAGAGGATAGACTTTGGTCAAGGATAGCCATCTTGTCATGAGGGGACCAGGGGGAAATAAATACTATGGTTTTCTTTCCATTGTGTAATGTCCCCCAACTCTGGCCCAAGTTGCCTATAACTACTGGAAGCTGGAAGGCAAGGGGTTCCTTTGTGCTCCATGTAGATCAGCTTTATGGAATAGATCTTGGGGCAGAAAGGTAGAATATGGTTCTGGGGGGAAAGAATGGGGAAAAATCTGCCAAAGGGGCACATCTTTTTTCTTTTGAAGCTCTTACGTACTACTTGTCTGGGAATAGTTATGGAAACGTCCACCTATGTGTTTAATATATTTTTATATTATTTAGATTTCATTTCTCCATATCATATACCTATTTTATATTTTCTCTTGTGGGCAAAGGCAGCCTGGGTATAATGATATTCTAATAGCTTAGTGAAAAAATTTCAGAATTGAGGGTTAAAAGGAATATAAATTTTAGGTGAGAAAGTAGGGAGAAAGAGCAGAGATTGCTTAGATAATTACTTCCTGCTATGTAGATAGCAGACACTTTAATTCATTTTTACCCTTGGTGGTGAGCAATCTTTGCTCATAGTCTCTTGCCATCTACACCTCCACACATCTGTTGGTTTTTATCTCTGTGACATAGATCCTGTCATGCATAGGATCTGCCACAGGTTATCATTACTGAATGAAGAAGGAAATAGACTGAGGTGATTTGGTAGAGTAAGTGGGATTTAAATATTTTGGAATGTTTATGGAAGAGGAACTATTACTTTGTTTCCTGGGCCAGAGAGATGGCTCAGTAGAATAAGCGCTTGGCTGGCAAGTGCAAGGGCCTGAGTTCAATCCCTGGTTCTGGAAAAAAAAAAAGGAAAAAAAAGGTGCTTGCTTTGGCAGCACATATACTAAAATTTGTTTCCCTTAATTTAGATTTTTTTCTCAGGGAGGTGATGGGGGTATGAGCACTTATTATCTTATTTTCTTCTATTGCAAAATAAGCTGCAAAAGACTAAAGATCTTTGTTTTGGGCTGGGGAGATAGCTTAGTAGAATAAGCACTTGCCTGGCAAAGTGCAAGGGTCTGAGTTCAATCCCTGGTTCCACCAAAAAAAAAAAAAAGAAAAATCTTTGTTTTTCCCACTGATGTTTTCCACTGACCTAAAACAGTGCATGGCACACAGTAAGTGTCCAGTAGAGACACTGACATGGCACTGAACAATGCTGTGAAGCATATGTCCTAGCAAAATAGCATAAGAGTTTATACTACGAATATCTTTTTTTTAGTATGTATTATTACTGTTATTCACGTGTGTGTGTGTGTGTGTGTGTGTGTGTGTGTGTGTGTGTGTGTGCCAGTTTGTGTGCATATGTGTTTTTTGAAAATGTTTTGGCTGGCTCAGCCTGCCCTGAGGGCAGGGCTGGCATGGCATGTGGTGCCAGCGATCAAGGTCCTCTGCGCCTGCCTAAGCTTGCCTAAGCAGGTGCTTTAGACTGCTGAGTTATCTCGCCAGCCCCTCTTTTATCTATTATTATTCTCTGTTTGTTGTACAGTGTTATCCCTGCTTGAAGATTATGACAGTTCTGAGTGGGCTCAGGGACCTCAAAATTAGTAATCTTTCTCAGGCATAACTGGCAATCTGGATCCTGTGAATTTTGAAGGTGTATTAAAAAACAGTTTTGAAAAAAAAAGTTTTGAACCCATGGTTTCTTTAGACAAGATTGGGTCTTCCCTTTCTGTTTTCCTTCCTTCCCTCCCTCTTTCACCTCTCCCCCTCTGTTTTTTCCTCTCCCTTTCCACTCTTTGAGGATTGAAACCTGATCTCATGCCTGTTAGGCAAGTGCTCTGTTATTGCTCTATACTGCCAAGTCCAAGCGTAGGTTTTTTCCTAAGCTGTTCTTGATCTAGTGCCACATACTAAAATAATTTCATTGAAATGGTTTAGCTTTTTGAGTTGGGAGAAACATAGGGCAAAGTTAGGTGCCTCTTTTTTACTTTGGGACATTTCTTTGCTTTAATATAAAACCTCAGAATTCCTGTGTTATTATCACTAGCCCATTGTTCTTTTGGTGATGATTCTTGTTTTCCCTTCTAGAGCTAAAGTTGCAGATAAGATCCAGTTGATCAACAATATGCTGGACAAAGTCAATGAGATGATTATTGGTGGTGGAATGGCTTTTACCTTCCTTAAAGTGCTCAACAACATGGAGGTAGGAAACCAGTATCAAGTGGATGTGAAAAAAGCTCTTCATGATAATAGTAGGCGATATAAGTTTAAAAGGAATACCAAATTCTGATAGAAACCCTAACACTTCCCATTTGAATTTCTCTTAGTGAGCTATTTTTCTTTTGTTTTTGCATTATTCCTTCATACTGTGTATTGTGTCTAGTTCTTGTCTTCTCTGTGAGGTGCTTACATTCTTAGAGGGGCTGATCATCATCTTGGCCTCCCTGTGTAGATTGGCACTTCTCTGTTTGATGAAGAGGGATCCAAGATTGTTAAAGACCTGATGGCCAAAGCTGAGAAGAATGGTGTGAAGATTACTTTGCCTGTTGACTTTGTCACTGCTGACAAGTTTGATGAGAATGCCAAGACTGGCCAAGCCACTGTGGCCTCTGGCATACCTGCTGGATGGATGGTGAGTCACTTGGGTGGCTGGTCATATGAATGAATGGAAAATTTTTGGTATCATCCATTTGTCTAATCAACAAACAGGACTGTGTAGTGCCTGGCACCAAATTTTGTGCAGGCAAAGCATCCCTGGCCACTAGGTGTCAGTGGTGTACCCCCCTCCAAAGTTGTACAACCCAATAAATATTTTTTTTCAAAGTTTTATTGATAAACAGATAGCAATGAGACAGTTTCAAATCAAATCGGAAGTACAGTTTCAACAAATAATACACTGCATATATTCTTCTTAGTGGTTAATTGCTGTACAAGAAGTGGACTTGTGATCCTATTTACAAACACCATTAGAACAAATCATTCTATTCATTAAGAGAATGCAACTATATATCTATCCTAATCACTTTGAATACACAGATACAAAATGGACATTCATCGGTATACCCCATTTTTTCTAAGTTCCGTTATTGACCAATAAATATTTTAAAATAATCTCGGGCTGGCCAAAGAGTTCAGCAGATTAAAGCGCCTGCAAGCAGGCACAGGGGCCAGGGGTTTGATCCCCCAGCCTGCTGTGCTGGCCCTGCCCCTGGGGCATGCTGAGATGGCAATTGAGACTGGGCATGGTGGTGCACACCTGTATTCCCAGCACTTGGGAGGCTGTAAACAGGTGGATTACTGTGAGTCTGATCTAGTAGTGAGACCCTGAACACCCTGTAGACCCTTCCCTAAAATACAAAACAACCCCCCCCAAGAAAAAAAAACAAAAAATCTCTACAGGTGCTCTCTGAGAGTGGGCTCTAAGTGTTGTAGCAAGGCAACATTTCTTCTTGTAGGAGAACCCATGGTGTTAGCAGTGGTATTAGATTTCATCAGTAGTATGAGGGCAAGCCTATTTTTTGTTTCTATATCTTTTTGATATTTAAGGATGGGAGACATTGCTATGCAGTTGCAAGGTTTGGACTGCTCTGGATTATGTTGCTATTTTAAAATCTGTGTAAGAAAAATATATAAAAATATTTTGAGGGCTGGCCAGAGAGCTTAGTGGACTAAAGTGCCTGCTTAGGTAGACGCAATGACTAGGGTTCAATCTCCAACATACCATGCCGGCCCCACCCCTTGGGGTGTGCTGAGATGGTGATTGAGATGGGGCATGGTGGCATGTGCCTGTAATCCTAGCCCTTGGGAGCCTGAAAACAGGAGGATGACTATGAGTCCAATCTGTGTAGTGAGGCCATGTGATCCTGTACTAATTTTACACACACACACACACACACACACACACACACACACACAAAGAGTATACTAATTACAATGAATTAAAAGCTAATATAAACAACTGTTCATAATATTCTCCACATACTATTTTGATAGCTGTATAAAATTTTATCATTAACATACTAGTTTGCTTAGTCATTTTTATTTTGTTAGGTATTTGGGTATTGTTTAGTTCATTGTGTTATCCCAATACCAGCATCATGTTTGAATTTGTTAAAATTGACTGAGTCTGAAACCCTAAGAGTACAGCTAGCCATTCTGTTCTGTTGTACTTTGTTCTACCCTACCCTACCCTACCCATCCTATCCTACCCTACCCTACCCTACCCTACTCCACTCTATTGTATTTTATTCTGTCATTCATGGTGCTGGGGAGATGAATACTGGTCTTCACTCATGCCAAACAAATGGTTTACTGTTAAGCTATGTCTGCAGCAATTTTTTAAACATTGCCCTCAGTTGATTTAGATATCTAGTGTATGAATTTCAACACTTGATGATACTCTGATTGCTCTTCAGATCATATAAATCTTTTGCCTTTTTATGTATTTAGCATAGGGTCTCACTATGCAGCTCATACTCATAGTGATCCTTCTGTTTTAGCCTCCTCAGTGCTGGGATTACAAGCATGCACACTACGCCGTCTCAGTGATCAGCTCAGTGTGTCCAGGAGCAGGGCCAGCACTGGCCTGTGGTGCCAGGGATCCCTGTGCTTGCCTAAGCAAGGCTCTTAGTCTGTTGATCTATCTCTACTGTCCTCTTTCCCCTTTCAACACTGATATCATAGCTTTTGTTGTGGAGGGCTCATGTTGTATTTTGGCCTGTGTAGTGCATCCCTGGCCACTAGGTGTCAGTGGTGTACCCCCCCAATGCTTCTCTCCACATTGCTATGTGTCCCTTGTAGACAGGTAGAAGTGGTCCAAGCTGAGAAGCACTGATCTAATTCTTGACTGTCAGATGTAGTGTAGCTAAGCAGGTCTTTATTAAATAACTTGGACTTGATCTTTCATAAAGTAGCCTTTGTGAGTGAGGACACATGTAGGTTTGTAGACTAAAGGGTAATGTTCTGGTTCTTTCATTCCAGTGGAGGTGGCATTTGGTCCGCGGTGTAACTTCTAGATAACTCATCCTCTCCTTCAATTCTACCCTCAGGGCTTGGACTGTGGTCCTGAGAGCAGCAAGAAGTATGCTGAGGCTGTCGGCCGTGCCAAGCAGATTGTGTGGAATGGGCCTGTGGGGGTGTTTGAATGGGAAGCTTTTGCCAAGGGAACCAAAGCCCTCATGGATGAGGTGGTGAAGGCCACTTCCAGAGGCTGCATCACCATCATAGGTATGGGCTGCTGTATAAATCTGATACAGTGATAGCTTATTTTGCAAATGATTTTGTTTGTAAAATCTGGTTTGCAAAAGAAGTATTTGGCAAAATTTTGTTTTTGTTTGTGAACTCTGCATTGGGTGACAAAAATGACCATTTTTTCCAGAATTGTGGAATGGATTAAGTTCGTAAGCTGAGGTACCACTGTACTTCCCTGAGCTGGCAGGACTCTATCAGTAGAAAGTAGAAGATACTTAACTTTTCTTGGGTGTCTTAGCTTTGTGTAGATTTTGAGAACTAAAGGGGCATGTAAGTCATGGAGGAGATTCTTGAAGTGGCGTTCATCAGTTATTACTTGGATTCCATACTGTTTTGGTACCACTTCTTCATTGTAACTTTCCTCTTTTTCTTGGCTTTCATTCAACAGGGGGTGGAGACACTGCTACTTGCTGTGCCAAATGGAACACAGAGGATAAAGTCAGCCATGTGAGCACTGGAGGTGGTGCCAGTTTAGAGCTCCTAGAAGGTGAGCTTCTTTCCTGCTTTTTCTCATATTTGTGAATAGAATGGAGAAAGTCAGTAGGTGATAATATCATTAATGGTCTTTATTAGCCTGGTAGTACAAATGGAAGAAATTCAAATAAAGCACTTAATATCAGTTTGATGTAGGAAGGGGCAGATAAGAACTTGTTGTATATGTTGCATTTTAGTAGACCAGGGACCCAAGCTGCCAAAGTTGCCCAACTCCTGGCCATACATCTTTAAGGAGAGGTGGCATGTTACTGGGAAGATGGAAGGGTGGTAGATTTGGCTTAGTGAATGCTGTGGTAATACTGTTTGTGTGTACTTTCTCTAAAACAGGTAAAGTCCTTCCTGGAGTGGATGCTCTCAGCAGTGTTTAGTGCTTTCCTGCTTTGTGGTTCCTGTGCACAGCCCCTAAGACAAAATAGTATTTTCTGCATCTCCACTTGGCATTAGCTAAAAATTTCCTCCACATTGAGATTCAGCTAATGGCCAAGGGATGCAGCATCAGTAACCCTTAAAGAGTTACACCACGTCTCAGCTAATGTTTACTGCACCCTGGACTTGACTACATTCTTCAAGTTGCCATTTAAGTTTCTTAGTGACTAAATCATTGTGCATTCTAGAATGCATCTATAGTTGCCTGTTAAAAAAAAGTGAGCTGTGTTTCAAGTAGCTTATTCTAATTGGCCTTGTCACTGTTCATTATTCAGCATGGACATAAAATGAAACTCCAGTTGTAGGGAGGGAGAAGTTGATGATCTATTCAATAAAAAATAAAAGTGTTTACCCAAACTGGACTTTTTCCTGTCATACTTTGTTAGGAAGTGTGAGAACAGAGTCTTTGTTAAGAAGGGATCAAATATCTGCATTTCTGAACATAAGAAATGGATTGGCAGTGGTGGGGAGGTTTGATTAGGTGAATATCTATTTATTGAAAGCCTAGGTCTGGGGAGATGGCTCAGTAGAATAAACACTTGCCTGGCAAGTGCAAGGGCGTGAGTTCAATCTCTGGTTCCAGGGAGAAAAAAAAAAGAGAGCCTACTCTATGATAGATGTGCTTTATTTTAAATATCAGACTTGATCATAATCTTTAAATGTCGATGTTTTCTAAGCAAAAAATAAAAGCCCCTAGCTCCTTTTTCCCATTTGTGATCCTCATTCCCCAGATGTGGACACTGTTTTTCTGCCATTTTCTTCTGTTTCTAAGTGTGTCCTCATCTACCTTACTCACCAGATCTGGCAACATGCAACTTTAACTACCAGGGATGGTAAATATTTTGAGTCAGGGATATTGAGGGAGCCCTGACTTTGCAACTGGTGGAAGAGGACTTCTAGAAGTCTATTGGATTTTTAAGTGATTCATTGCTTTCATAAAAGTGGCAAGAGAACAGACCCAAAGTGGTGACCCCCTAGTCCCCAAGAGAGAACAGATCTGTGCAAAGGAACATCCTACCCCCATGTGAGAGCAGTCAAGGGGAACACAGCATGGGAAAGGAGAGGCAAAGACTAACCAACCTGATTCTGCATGAAGAGAACTGGGAGGGAAGGAAGCAACTGGTCCCCGTGACAGTTGAAATTAAATCCAAGACCTCAGAGGCTGTTCATGTTCCCTATCTACCAATGGGAGTAAGGATATACTGGAAGCAAAATACACAAGCTTCAACATCAAACAAAGATGGAACATGGTGAGACAAGCCAAAAAATGACCCTAAAACCTCCAAGCTTCCACTAAGTTGATCCATGGGGCTTGAAAGGGGAGGAAACCAGAAGTCTCCCACACAAACTATCTAAAATTCTATAAGGAAGTAGTAACCAAGAACAGTTCAATGAGGCAATTGGCAAGATTGAAAAAGATATAATTAATGAGTTGGGCCAAGTAAAGTCATAGCCAGAAAAAGAATCATAAGTAAATCCAAGGAAGATTATAATGATAGAAGAACTGAAAAAAGTCGTGCAGAGATTGTTGAAAGTAGGGGCAGAAGTGACCAGTATGAGGACAAAATTTTAGAATGAACACAATAAGGCTGTTGTTAGTGACCAGTTAATGACATACCTTGACAGTAAGGGAACATGAAAAATGGATCCAACTGCTCCTAGATAATGCAAAGACCAATCTAAGATTAATAGGAGTTTGTCAAAACGATATAGCACAGATAGCATAAAAAACCTGTTTACTGAAATAACAGCTGAAAACTTTGTAAATAAAGTAAAAGAAGTAAGGCATACAGAACCTCAAATAGTCACAATCAGAAAAGAACCTTTCCACAATACGTCATTGTGAAAATCATGAGTCCAACACAAAAACAGAATCTTAAAAACAGAGAATAGCAATGAATCACTTAAAGGAAAACCTGTTAGACTTAATGGTAGATTTTGTAGAGGACCAACATGTTGCCCTAACCCAGACCCAAGTGTAATTTTGTTTACTTATTTATTTTTTATGTAT